TTCTCTTCGTGGCTCTTGATGTACAACCACATAATATCGCTAAAATCTAACGAATGTTCAAGGATTTGGGTGTGAGTTAGGACAGGATTTACATCCACACCCTAAAATTTCAACTCAATAAGTTAAAAAAATGATTTTTCAAGCTCTGTAATAGCTTCTTCTATTCGAAAGTTTGTATCGTCAATAAGACTAATATATTTAGGTACTTTTTCATAAATATTCGCTAGAATTATATGAATCAAAGACAACCATTAACTATTGGATACTATAAGGAAATTCAAAACTGAACAATAGTGATTTTGAATTAATTTCTGCATCTTATTTATTTTGCCACATTTTAATCTATTCAATGGTTATTCTCTAGTTTTTTAACCTAATAAATAATCAAACTATTAAATTGATTATCCGTTCACTATATATAATGTGCATATAAAAATCAAGATAAAGAAATTAATTCAAAAGCACTACTTTTATTTTTTATTTTTTGAATTTCATTAGTGTGTTCATTTTAATAATATTGATTGTTATTATAATTGAGGCAAATTTCAAGTGGTTTATATCAATATATTGAATACAATTAATTATATTCGATAAAAACTATATTTCTTATTCATGTATGAAATATAAAGGATTTTAAATCTGTTTCTCATAATTTAAAGTTTCAATCATTCATTATCCATTTATACTTTTAGAAATATCTGTTGCATAACGTTTTCATCTTCATACAATTTGTTTTAATAGAATTCGACATTTTAAGGCAACTTCTCATTTGCGAACATAGATGAAATCATTTTTTAAATCTCGCAAAATTATTTTCAAATTTTGGATTGATAACAAAGATGAGAAGTTCATAAACCATTTTTTATAAAATGATTGCATTTTTGAAAATTTGTTTTTCCACATATGATAAATACAATTGGATTTCGGAACTAAATTAAAAACAAAATATTTTATTTAAACTTTTTCTGCAAGCCTTACGAGTCTGTTTTTGTTTTTTAATAAGTAGAATACTTCATTGCAAATTGTAGCGAGTGTCAGCTTTTATGAAAAAATAAATACTTGATCTGTGTAAGATTATCGCAATTTATAGAGAGTGTCAATAGTTGTTGATTAAACAATTTTCATTGATGAACAATTGTTGAAGTCAATTATTATTTTAAAAACATACATTTAGTTGTACAATTGAAACAAAATAATAAGTCAATTTTGAACAAGATTCATCAATCTAACCGTTCGATGCTTGATTCTATCATTTAATAGGAACAAGAAGTTTTAATTAAATTGATTAAACAAAAGAACAAAATCATAGATATTCTATCTCTGATGTATAGGGACCTTAATCAACTGCAATTATGATTGTAAATATAATCAAATTTTATTATTTAAAGAACAAAATCCTACATGTAAGTTAGTTAATTATGCACCCATGGAGTAAATTTCTGCGAAAAAAACGCGTTTTCTCATTGTTGCGAAACACGTTAAACCGGTCAGCATTAATGCGTTTTACATCTGCTAACACAAATGCTGTGGAACGATTGTTTTTCTGAAAAATTTTTGCAGCGTTTCTCTAACTGTGGTGCCGTATATTCTAGATGGAAAAAAACTTAAAACCGTCGGGCACCTCATGTAGCCTGGGTTGCAGATACCATTCATGTACTCATTTACATTTTTTCATAGACCTTTAGAGCTAAAACTTCGATGAATTTTGATACAGCCAACATATGGATTCGACCACGAGAACGTAAGAGTAGAAAGGGTGTGGGTGTGGGTGGGTGTGGATGTGGGTGGGTGTGGGTGTGG